TCTTTCTTCCTTCTCAAATCTACTCTTGGAGACTACTCAAGATAAGTAATACTCGAAATAGCATTAAAGATATGAATTGGGGCTGGAGAGATGGCTCAGTGGTCTAAAGCACCTACTTAGAACAAGCTTAGCAAAGCATCAGGGACCGCGGTTCGATCCCCCAGCACCACATGCCAGCCAGCCCCGCCCCCTGGTGGGCTGAGCTGGCCACACACACCACACACTCTCTCTCTCTCTCTCTCTCTCTCTCTCTCTCTCTCTCTAATAAATAAATAAATAAATAAAAATTTAAAAAAAAAAGATATGAATTAATCCTGGTGACTCATAGGTAACGGGATTCCTTGGTGTTTACCATTATTAAATCACCCACCTTTAGGAATAACGTATTCTGCGCCAATACAGCTCTCTTGCTTTCGCATTTTTACCAAATGATGTGAAATGACTGAATCCACACTCTGTTGTGGGAGATAGCAAATGTTGTTATACGAAAAGTGTCAATGCCTTCCCTTTCTGCACAAATGGAAATTTGTCTTTTCATCACACACAAAAATAAAACACCCCTTTCTCTCACCATAGGACAGAGAGCAAAAAGACAGCAGACAAAGAGAGAAGAGCAAATACTGTAGCACCCTGCTAAAAGAGAAAGAGAAGCCCTCTCTAGCTTGACAGGGAAAGCACAAAGACATTTTTTCAGGGCATGTAGAAAGGAAGCAAAATTACTAAAATGAAAAGCAGTGTCTACACAAAGTGATGTAAGTGCTCTGATATAGAAGAAAGACATCCCAGGGTGAACCAGGATAAGGTACACCTAATATGAAACTCACAAAAGAGAATCCAAAGGAAATTAACCCTTCAGTGCCTAGTGCTCCACTTTTGGAATGTTCAGAACAATGAAACACAATTAAATGTGTTCTGTTCAGACTCTTTTCCATTGAATTTTTCTACGTAAAATATATGAAAAATTAAAAAGTTTTAAAACTTTAGCATACATGGGTTAAAAATACAACAGAAGGGAACAAAGAAAATTGCCAATTAAACTCAATGGCATGAACCCATGTTTATATCTCCTCCCTACTAATCTATACGGAAATGACAGTAAAGTTGTAATCTCTAAGACCAAACAGAAACAGTAAGACAAGAGAAAGAAAAGCATGAGAAGGGAGATGAGCGATGAGAAGCCACCCGCAAGTGTAGGTAAAGAAAGCATGATACCTACAAGACCAAACTCATAAGCCAATGGGGAGTCAGTTCATACTTCAGAATCTAAGAATCACTCAAGAACTGGGGTCTGGAGTACAGAACCAGCTAGCAGTGAGAACAGTCCTCTGGCTTTCAATAACAACAGAACACCCAGAGGAGAAAGCAACACTAACAACGGTCTAAAAACTAAGAAACAAACAATCCAGAAGAAGAATGACAAGAAACCACAGAGAACAAGACTCAAGCAAAAACAAGAAAAAAGAAAGTCTCAGAAAGACGAGGCCCTCACACTGGAGGGCCACTGGGCTACAGGTCTGCAGACCTACCAATCTAGGTCAGATAAATAAAAAGGGATTCTCAGGAGGAGAAAATGATGAACGTACCTGATTCTGATTTGTTTCAGAGGATTTTCACTGTTCTGCTCAAAATTTCTAGGCCTCAATTTGAAATCTAATATTAATTATGTTAATTAGTACAATTAATGAATAAAAAGGAGATTACAATTAGAATTACAATTACAATTAGGAAAGAATAGAAATTTAATCATAGTATACTTCATGTCCTTACTATGAACAATACTTATATCATTGTATGATTATAAATACTATATATTATTTTAAGCCAAAAATTATAAATACACTTGGAAATTGAAATATAATACAGAAAATCGTCTCTTGATGTCTGTCTGTCTGTCTGTCTGTCTGTCTCTCTCTCTCTTTCTTTCTTTCCTTCTTTCTTTTTCGCACCAGGGACCAAACTAAAGAGCTTGCACTTGCCATGCAGGTGCTTACACTGCTGAGCTATGTCCCTGGCCCTTGATGTGGTTTTTTTTTTTCTCCTGCATATCATCCCTCATACCTAAGTCACTTTCCCTCCAAAAGTCACTGCTTCCTGAATCGTCTCCTTCCTTTGGCTTCATGGAGCCTGCGCTGCACAGACTTTACTCCCAAATCTTTTATCAGGGCAAGAAAGTGCTTCAATTTGTCATTCTGGAGAAGTGCCAAGACAAAGAGACTGCCCAGTACAATTAGATCTCAACGGATCTCCCTGCGTTCTTCCATTCACAGGAGCTACCAATGTCCCCTCCTGGTTGCTGTTGTTGTCCTGGGACTGGAGCAGGACAAGCCACAGGCAGGTATCCGATGACAACTTGGGTGTTCCTGGTTCTAAGAGGGGTCACCAGGCCCCCTGCCTTCCCTGAGCTGCTTCTATCACATGTTCTGACACAATACAGACCTCAAAACTACTGATAGCTTGTTCATTTACTCCAATTCTGAGGTTCACAGCTGGTCATCTATGCACTGGTTTTGGTTTTACTCCACTAGTTGTTCTAGTTACATGACAAGTTCCAAAACCTATGCCATAGCCGTACTCCCAGAATCATCTTCTATTTGACCTTTTCAGCTATCGTCAAGTATTATTTTAATAAACATAAAGTTTAACTTTAAAGAGAGAGATACAGAGCACATTAGTGAGATGAATCCCACCTTTTGTAGAAGGGTTTTAATTAACTGCTTTTGAAAAATCAAAAATGAGTATCAAAGTCCCATTGTTATCATTTTTTATTATTTATGCACTGACTTTTGAAGCTCCATGACCCCCAGTACCAATATGCAGACCTAACCTAAACCTTAGCTTCTAAACAACATATTTTAAAGGAGGGAGAAAACTGCTAAGAGAAATGGGTGATTCCAGCTCAGAGAAAGAGAAAGAATGTAGACTGAGAACATGTTATAGCAGCAGAAAGCACTCAAAATACAATGATAAAGGGGCCAGCCAGAGAGTTCAGCAGATTAAAGCACCTGCTTAGGCTGACAGAGGGACAATCCCAGGTGTACCATGCCAGCCCTGTCCCTGGGGTGCTCTGAGCTTGCAACTGAGACTGGCATGGTGGTGCATGCCTATAATCCCAGTGCTTGGGAGGCTGAAAACAGGAGGATCACTACAAGTCTGGTCTGTATAGAGAGACCCAGTAGAACCTGTACTAAATACATTTAAAAAAATGATGAAGGTATCTCAAAGGTCCCACCATAAACAACCTAAAATAACTCCCCAATGGCCAAAGCAGAGCAACCTAATAGTATACTATTAGTGGATTATAACTAGGCCTCCCAGATGAAATACAGAATATTCAGTTAAATTTGAATTTGGATACACAGTGAATATTTTTAAGTATAAATTATACTGTAACATTATGTATGTCAATTTCTGTAATTATAAATCGATACAAAATAATATTTAGATAACTATCCAATAAAATATGTATAATTTTTTATACCAATCACTCTTTTTGGACAAAAAAAAAAAGTGACTGATACAAAATCACTTTTGTACCAAAGTAACTAACTTTGGTACAATAACTCCTTTGATTACTTCTACATGACACTAAGTCTAAAATTTCCCCAGATATTAGTGATATCTGTGACATAGGTGGAGCCTTTCTTATAATCACGGATAAAGATTATGAAGAACATTGTGAGGAAAACCACACAATCAGTTCTCACAATGTTATATTAACAATATTTACTTCATCTTTCTTAATAAAAATATAATATAACTGTGCAGTCTCATACAATTTAAGTTGAAGAGGCAATATCATTCAAAAAGGTGACATTTCATATTCTGTTTTTGCCCTCACAAGACATACTACTTAAAACTTATGAAAAATTATATGCTTCTTAGCAAAATAACAGAATCAAAATGCTCTGAGCATGGCTTACCTTTTAAAAACTAAATCTATGTTAAAACATTCACAAATATAGGTTATATCTGAGATTTACTTAATTCTCAATGACCAAAAGATCATTGGATTTTTTTACAACATTAAGTGCAAACCAGTTTCATAAATAAGATCCAATAAAATTATTATAGGCCAACAATAGCAATCACCTTGAGATATTACCCCACTTTTTCAAAGTGAATCTTTGTGTTCTTCAAAGAAAATGGAGTCTTTGAGCAGTAAGGTACCAAGTCTGCAGCCTTCGTCAACAAGGTTAGTGCCCTTATAGGAAGGTACTAAGAGATATGACAGCTGATTCCCTGCCACCCACTACACACACACAGTGAGGAAACTGGGGATATGGTCATGTGCAAACCACAAAGAGTACCCTTAGCACTCACACGTTTGTCAGGGCATTGATGTGGACTTTTCAGGCACAGAACAATGACACATAGATTTCCACTGTTTTAAGTCATGTAGTCTGTAATAGCAGCTGAAACTACAACCTCCTTTGGTCAAGAGATAAGAAGTGCCTTGATTTGGAGTTCAATAAACTTTACAATGATGAATATAGAGTTTCTCTTTGAAAAGCAACTTCAACGTTTAGCTCTTAACATTATAAAATATTTCTATTGAAAACAAACTGGAATATAGCATGTGAACAAATTTTGACATTTTTCCTGAAATGAAATGCTTTCTGAATTTGGAAATTTCTATCCTCAGTACACACAAAGAAAGTAAAATTCAAGAACCTTTCCAAGAGCCTGAAAGGCTAAAGATTTTTAATTATAAATTCCTCTGACTATGACCTACTTTAAAAGGGGGCTTTTCCAAAAATAAGTTGAATCATTTCATTCATTTGCTCGCTGGGTACTTAGGAGTAAAGAGTCCTCATATAGTCTCTCTCTCTCTCTCTCTCTCTCTCTCTCTCTCTCTCTCTTAAAACATTAAACCACCCTCAGACAAAATGCACAAAAATTAACTGATAAAATCAACCAGCATCTTTCAGCACAGTGTAATACTATAATTAGCAGGATATTCCTTCTGTTTACTCAGTGAAAAATGGGATGATTGCACTTACCGAGCTAGGGCTAGAGTGTCGCCTAACTTTAGGCGACTCTTTGCCAGCAGAGGAGGTCTTAAAGTTAATGCAAGCATTGTTCTCAGAATGTACCCTCTTCACTTGATTAGTTGGTTTCTCAAACGGGTCAAAAGTGCTCTGTGTCCTCTGGACCCGGACTTTTTTATCCTCAGGAATTGTGTCCAGGTGCTTGATCACTGAGTCCATTCCCTGGCAGTTCCGTGTAGACATCTTTGTGACACATATCTGGAAGAAAAAAAAAAAAAAACTAAATTCAGAACTTTCCACTGTAATTTTCACATCACTAAATATACTGATTTCTTATTTTAGGAAATGTGTTCATTTCAATTGCAGGAAATATCCAAAAGCCAGCATTCTATAAGCTTGACCAGCTTCAATCACAATACAAAAGTCATCATAATCAATCTGCTAATACAAGAACTTAGGAAGACTCTGAGTGGCTTGCAGGATGTAGGAGAGCTGCGATCTGCCAGCCCAGCACAAGCAGGCATGGAGCTTTCCTGGAGCCATTCCAGAACTTTGTCGGACTCCAGACAGCCTGTGAAACTGTCTGGGTGATTACAAGGAGCTTCACAAATGCCAAAGTGTAGGGCTGGCCTGATAGCTCAGCAGACTAAAGGCCTGCTTAGGCAGAGCACAGCAGCAGGCATTCAATACCCCCAGCCTGCCGTGCTGGCCTCACCCACAGGGAGCACTGAGATAGCAAGTGAGATGGTGGCATGTGCCTGTAATCCCAGCACTTGGGAAGCTGAAAACAGAAGAATCACTACAAGTCTGACCTGCATAGTGAGACCCTGTACACCCTGTCCCAAAATACAGAAAAAAAAAAAAAAAATGCCAAAATGCAGGAGTAAAAGGCAATATCAATCCTTAAGCCCACCCAGAACAAATCCAGGAGACAAAGACAATTTTTTTTCCTCAAAAATAAAACACCTGAAATCTCTGAAATGATGCCACTGAAGTAAAGAAAAAAGTCCATCAGGCTATAGAAGAAATAAGATCAGAAATAATCTCTCACATCCAAAAAGAAATGATAGCAATTGTGAAAGAACAGCTCAGCACAGCTAAAGAAGACACAGATTGAAGGAGGAGAATAGAAAAATGATGGAAACACTGAAAGAACAACACAGGAAAGAATTAGAATATGTGAAACAGATTCAAACACATATCAACTGAAAGCTGGCAAAACCCTTTGAATGAAACTGAAGAGAGACTGTCAGGCCTTGAAGATAGTGTTGCAGCTAATGAACGACAGAGGAAAGATCTCCTAAAACTAACAAGGAACCAGGATATCACAATTCAGCAACTTCAATATGATGCAAAGAAAAATAATATAAGAATAGCAGGTGTCAATGAAGCAGTGGGAGACAGCATAAATGACATAAAAAGACTATGTGCAGAAGCACTAGAAGAAAATTTTCTGAACATAAGAACCTGACATACACATATGCGAGGCACACAGAACTCCACACAGCCACAACCACGATAAATCTACACCAAAACACATAATAATCAAAATCTCAGAAATTCAGCAGAAGAATAGAATATTAAAAGCTGCTAGAGAGAAGGAACAGATCGCCTACAATGGAAAGCCCATCAAAATCACAACAGATTTCTCAACACAAACTATCAAATAAAGAGCTTGGAGTGAAGCATTTCAGATCCTAAAAGAAATAACTTCCAACCCAGATTGATGTACCCTGCAAAACGATCTATCAAATTCAATGGCAAAATAATATCCCTCCATGACAAATAACTATTGTAGAAACTCATGACCACCAAACCAACCTGATAAAGAGTACTGAGAGATATTGTAGAAAGACAGAAGTGATCACAGCTTCAAGAACAACAGAAAGGACCCACCAAACAGAGCAAGTAATTAAAAAGAGAGAAAAAATACCGAACATATAGCAAGAAAAAAATGACAAAAATAAGCCAATACGTATCAGTTATAACCATCAATGTAAACTGCCTCAATTTACCAATCAAAAGAAACAAACTAGTACCAAGCTGGCCCCACCCCGGGGGTGCACGGAGACAGGGATTGAGATGGGCATGGTGATGTGCACCTGTAATCCCAGTTCTTGGGAAGCTGAAAACAGGAGGATCACTATGAGTCCAATCTACATAGTGAGACACTGTAGACCCTGTACTAAATACATTTTTTAAAAAGAAGGAAACAGAGTAGCAGAGCGGATTAAGAAACAAAATCCAACAATATGGTGCATGCAAGAAACACATTTAACTCAAAAGCAAATTCACACACTAAAAGTCAAAGGATGGAAAACAATCCTCCATGCCACAGGAAATGAGAAAAAATCAGGAGTGGCCATCCTGGTTGCTGACAATATCAACTTTGAACCAAAAATCATTCAAAGAGATAAAGAAGGTCACTCTTACTTGTTAAGGGAAAACTGCAACAGGAAGAGATAACAATTATAAATATATATGCACCCAATGTAAGAGCAAACACCTACATAAGACAAATTTTAACAGACATAAAAAATCAAATAAGCAGTAATGCAATAGTAATGGGGGACTTTTAATACAGCACTGCCACAAAAAAAATCAGCAAAGAAATAACAAAACCAAACCAAAGTTGTCAAGAAATTGACTCAGCAGACCTTTACAAAGTGTTTTACCCAGCAACAGAACATACATTCTTCTCAGCTGCACATGTGATGTTCTCTAAAATAGACCATAAACTAGCACACAGAGCATTCTTAAGTAAAGGCAAAGAAATTAAAATTATCCCATACATGCTATCTGACCACAGTACAATAAAACTGGAAATAATTGATAAAAGAAACTACAAAGACCCTATAAACACATGGAAATTAAATAAAACCTCCTAAATAACCAGTGGGTAACAAAAGAAGTTAAAAAATTTTACAATCCAACCAAAATGCAGACACAACTTGTAGGATGTAATGAAAGCTGTCTTAAGAGGAAAATTTATAGTGGTAAATTCACACATTAGAAAAACACAACAAGCCCAAATAAATGATCTTATGTTATACCTCAAGCTCCTAGAAAAAGAAAAAGCAAGTCAAGCCAAAATCCCAAAGAAGGCAGGAAATTATAAAGAATAGACTAGAGATTAATACATTGGAGATGAAGAAAACAATACATGGGGCCAGGGAGATAGCTCAGTAGAATAAGTGCTTGCCTGGCAAGAGCAAGATCCTGAGTTCAACCCCCAGTACCACAAAAAAAAAGAAAAAGAAAAAAGAAAAGACAAGACAAGAAAACAATACAAAGAATAATTGAATCAAAGAGCTAGTTCTTTGAAAAATAAATAAAATTGATAAACTCCTAGCCAACCTAATCAAGAAAGCAAGCAACCAAGAAAGACAGACAGACAGACAAGACCAGACCAGACCAGACCCAAATTTATGCAATAAGGAATGAAAAGGGCAAAATCACTATAGAGCCTAGAGAAATTCAGAAAATCATCAGAAGATACCTACTTCCAAAATCTTTACTCTTACAGGATGGAAGACATGAAGGAAATGGACAGTTTCCTAGCTACATATGAAATGCCAAAAAATGTCAAGAAGATATACAAACTCTGAATAACCCAGTAATGAGAAATGAAATTAAAAATACAATAAAAACCCTATCAACAAAGAAAATTCCAGGTCCCGATGGATTCAGAACAGAATTCTATAAGAAATTTAGAGACAATTTAATGCCAACTTTTCTCAAACTCTTCAATGAAACTGAAAGGGAAGCAATTCTCCCAAACTCATTCCTGGAGGCAAGTATTACTCTGACACCAAAACCAGGGAAAGATCCTACTGAAAAAGGGAACTATAGCCCAATCTCTATAATGAATACAGATGCAAAAATCCTCAATAAAATACTAGCAAACAGAATTCAGCAAATCTTCAAGATTATACATCGTGACCAAGTGGGATTAATTGCAGGAAGGCAGGGATGGTTCAACATTCACAAATCCATAAATGTAATACACCACATCAATAGAACCAAGAAGAAAAACCACATGATCATTGCAATAGATGCATAAAAAGTTTTGACAAAGTCCAAAATCCAACACTCATTCATGATAAGAAAAAAAAAAAAAAAACCTACAGAGAATTAGAGTAGATGGTCTATATCTCAATCTGATAAAAGCCATCTATGAGAAACTAACAGCCATCTATGAGAAACTAACAGCCAACATCATACTAAAACGGGCAAAAACTGAAAGCCTTCACTTTAAAATCAGGAACAAGAAAAGCATGTCCATAGTCTCCACTCCTGTTCAATATAGTTCTAGAAACATTAGCCACAGCAATGAGGCTAGAGAAATAAAAGAAATAAGGATTGGAAAAGAAGTAAAATTATCAGTATTTGCAGATGACATGAGACTCTACACAGAGGACGCCAAAAACTCCACTAAGAGTCTCATGGACTTAATCATCAAATTCAGCAACATAATAGGATACAAAGTCAGTGCCCAAAATAATTACCAAATGTTACATATTCTGCTTATATACAGCTAGAACTCACATTTTAAAAGCTATCACTGAGGCCAGGGAGATGGCTCAGTGGAATAAGTGCTTCCCTGGCAAGCGCAAGGGCCTGAGTTCAATCCCTGGTTTCGCCAAAAAAAAAAAAAAAGCTATCACTGAAACAAGAACCTGACAATATAGAACAACAGTCCCCAATTATTCTTCAACTGTCCTATCATCATCTGATTGTAAGTGGATATTTTTAAATAATTAAGAGAGTATATAATTACTTCACTTCATACAAGATAAAAGACAATCAGATGGTCACTTAAACTGATGGGTTATCATAGAATAGTTAACATGGGCTGAAGGACAAAAGGAGCCATGTTGGTTAAAAAGTTTCACATTGTAATATCTTTGACATCTGTTCCCATCTTGATTTCATTTCCAAATTGGAAGAAGGTCAAAGAACTGAGCCCAATTCTGGATTTTTTGTTTTTCAATTCCAAAGCTAACAAATAAAAAAGAACAGTACCAATGAAAACCATAAGTAATACTCATTATAAGGGTTGCTTACATTCCCCACTATACTGCTAACTCCTTTCCAATATCTTCATTCTCTTCTTTCTAAGCCTGCTCCACTTTCATTTTAGTCTTTGAGCTTCACTCTGTTTTCCACTTCATGCTCTAATCTTTTTACTCTATCCTCTGGAGACTTTGGTGTCTGTAATGAAAAATTGTATGGTCTCTATCTTAATGCAAATCTAG